TACACATTTCGATGTTCTTGCAAAATCTGCAGCAGAATTTATTTCTCTTTTCCTTCTAACGAATGCAATATTCTAGGTTCGGAGAAAATCTTGATATACAGAAAAGTAAATATACAATTTACTACAAATTCTGTGAAGAAGACATGCAACATACGAATAAAACACAAATGTAACAATCCACGTGTTCACCTTTCAAATATCTTTATACCAAGAATAAGAACTATGTTGCCTTGTATCAAATGTTTCTTATTTTTGTTTTCGTTTTTACGCACATTAAAGTTTATTTTTATCCTGTATTAAGATTCTTTATTTTGCTGACTTTCAACCCCTCCCAGAGAATAATGGAATATTTCCACAGAAGAAGCGTGCAAGAAACACTCCAGAACATGCAACATACGGTCGATATCACTACAGTGAATTTTCTTAACTGTAATGGAATCTCAATGAAATGTTTTCCATATCAGATAGGTTTCAATTTAACGCAGGTACTTGGATCAAAAATGTATTTCACGATACTAATCGTATGTATTTATTATCCAGATCATCAGTAAAAAACTCATGCTACGTAAGTACAATACAATGTTACAAATCAGTGCATATTTTATGTATTCTTCCTTTCATTTATTTCTTAAATTTGTTATTTTTGTTGTTCTTTTTTATCTTATATGAATTAGGACTTCTAGGTTCCTTCTTATTAATAATCTTTACAAGTACTTGGCTTCGTGAGTCATACTGATAGGTGCACAGTAAATACAAGTTTCTTTGTCATAAACCGAGACATAAATCATATTATACAAGTGCCATAAATATTGATCGTCTTAAAACGGGCTGTCGTAAATCGGATACCACCTCTAAACCCAGATAAACCTCGGCAGGCATCGATGTGGCGATGATGGATACCGGTTTAAGCGGCTACATTCAGACAAAGAAAATAACAAAGTCACTTTCGAAGTTCTCGTAGCTCACCAAGGCAGTAGAAACCCATGTTACAAGACGAACACAAGATGCAGGGTAGCAAAATCAAAAATTTGGCCAGAGGTAATAACAAGGCAGCTTTATAAGTCTCTCTTAATACAATTACACCTGTATGTGGGTTATACGCAGGCAACATTCAGAAATCTGCCAAATCTTGGGCGAACATCCCCACTTGGGCTATCTTTATTTACATGCAATATGATAATACAGAAAATTTCAAGGCTCGTTGTGTACGAAATTTCTGTCAATAAAAATTGGTGTTCAAAGAATCAATCATGTCCACCTGGCAACAGTCCGAGTTCCAGTTCTGAACCGTACTCGCTAGTTTAGTTTCTCACACCAAAATTTTATGAAAATCGTAAGGAGACCAATTGGTAGACATTGCGTAGAGGCAGAGGATATTTCCTTGTGTTGGAATATAAGAAATCTATTCACGTCTTCTGGGGTAGAACTGTGTCCTTTCAAACCGTTCTGAGATTATTGTACAAATAATCTGGACCCATAAATCTAAACGACGCGTTTAAGGCAGTGATGGTATGCTGCATAAACAAAGAGGAATTTATAAGGCCCTCTTTCTGAACAACTCCGTCTGAACTATGAAACAACCGCGCCAGTTTGCATAATTTAATCGAAAATGTAAATTCTCCTTAGTGAAGTACTAATAGAAACAGTGTTACTTCTGCACTGTAAACTACAATAACAACGTTCATTAGTCGAAGCCTTTTTCTCTAACCTCCATACGGTTCGCTGTCAATTACTAATTAATTCGGACACGATATCCTGAACTCTGATTGCATTATCAAGGCGGTGTGATAGACAAAACCAAGTCTAGAGTGCAGCCGCACTTGACTACCTTTTGCCCAGATTTTAGTCAGTAAAAAAAATAGCTAAAAAAATAAGCTAAAAGTGCTAGAGATCCCAAAATCCTAATTTTCGTCAAGATGTATTGTTATTTTCTATTACAATTCTTCCTACACAACACGAACGAAAAAGTAACAAGACTGGAAAGGTGTACTCTTTCGAGTACAATGACTTTCCAAAAATGTTATTTACGGCACGTCAAGCAGACAATTGTTGCACTGTGATCCAATGCCATTCTTGCGCAACAATATGTTTAACAATGATCTTAAATCATTTTTGCACGAAATGTCGAATCAGGATAATAAAAGGACAGGGGTGTCCAATCCGGCGAAGGTAAGGCCAAGAAATAAGAAAACAATAGAATCAACAATAAAAATATGAACAGCGGCTCCCGGTCAAGTTGCCTCCTACCTGTGCGACAGCCCTTAAGAGGTTCTAAAAGCTGGTCGATTCGGGGCCGCACGACTTATTTGCCCATATTTGCTTTAAGCCACTGTAGATCTTATTCATTTTGGCGTTCAATGGACGTGATAAAACTTGTGCAATGAATTTTGTGAAGTTTTTTTATTCCTCGGTTGCTTAGATGTCAGAAAGGTGCTAAAATTCGCCTTTTAACACTTAAAAATATTGTCTCCACAACACACCAATAGACTTTAAAAGATACAAACAACCACCAGCAACTTAGTCATGTTATGCAGTCAGTTAAACTAAGGAACACAATTCATGCTTCCTAAGGCGATGTGGAAGCAGACTGGTCTTATGCTACGTATGTCCGATTTTATTCCAGATCTTTCAGTCGACTTCTGTCCGTTTATTTCTTTTGAATTTCTTCTGTTTCTTTTCTCTTCGCTCACTTTTATCCTCATCTTACTGAATAAGACAATTTGAACATTTGGTTTACGAGGTCTTCACATTGAGCGCAGTGCCTTTATGGCTATAATTCTGAATTCACTGTTCTCTATCCGTACGACGGAAAACAAAAGCATAAACTTTCCTTGTGATGTTATATCTCTAACACACACACTTACACAATATATATATAACTAGGAGTAAGGGGGAGAGAGAGAGAGAGAGAGAGAGAGAAGCTATTCAGCTGATAATAATTTCTCCATCCCCTCCACCATTCCAGTTCCTATACGTCCCTGCTGAAATTCTAACAAAAACTTCCCAACCACCTCTGGGATTAGAATCAAAGTTTGTTGTATGAATCCTGACTATTATTACCATAGATCGGGATCAAACTTATACTAATAAGACAAATAAGAAACCACTAATCAGACTACTGTTGCGCCACGTATGAGATGTATTGAACGAAGTGACCTATATTTATATAAATGCTCTTAATTTCATCGGTTTAGATTATTTGTTACAGTTGGATATTTTGTGTAGGTACATTACAACGTAATTTAAGTATTGTGTTGTGTACAATCTTTTCATTATTTGTACATATATTTTTTGTTGTCTGTTATGGGAGATGATTTTCACAAACACAGCACGATATTTCAGAAATTTCTTTTACGTCGGTCTTCAAGGGCTTAAAATGCAATTTAAAAATGTATGCATTTTCGTTTCCTTTGACAGTTCCTATAATCGAATGCGGAACACAATGACTAGCTATAACATGTTAATCTACATATCTACCAAGGTTTTATGGCCAGAAATATAGTTTAGATAGAAATGAAAGTTTATACCACCTTAGATTTTATTGCTACTGTCTTTGTGTTATTCATAAATACAGTTTATGCAGCACGATACAAGAACATAATTATAGCAAAATAGTTTTATAAAGTTGCATTATTTTCTTTTGTCGTCTTCTTCAAATTTTCCTACTTTCCCATCGAAAAGTAATTGCCTGATATTAGCAATTCATAATGCCGCATTTTTCGAATGGAAAATTAATTTTACACTAAGCAGATACATAGTTTCATTCGCCCTTTTTATTGATATGTTTGACACCATTTTACGTTTTATGTAGTCACCAAAGCCGAATTTGTGTAAAAGCTAATGTAGCGCTGCAGTTTCTATCACCAAGATCTCGATTCCCGGCAAGATTTTTTTCTCTTTTCTAAATGTTCAGGCTAGCTCTGGGACACATCTTGTCTCCAATTCAGTGAAAAAGGCTTCAACTGGAACCAAGGTTAGGTATGGATGGAATTTTACCACCACACCACTTGGTCTATAAGAGGCTTTGCTTTTAACATACTTATTTGTTCCTAAATACAGCCAATTTAACAAAATCGTGAAAATTTCAGAGGTTATACGTAATGATCCTCTCGCTAGAGGCCCCGGGCCCTCTGAAATAAAATCACTATTTATTAATATATACCGATGGTGATCAAATGCTGTATTTAAAAATGCATCCCGCCCTGGCGATAATGCACAACTGGATGCAATGTACACTGTCGCATGTCTGTGCGAATGCCTACATTCCTCCTGGTGACTCTTCGTTGTGTTCGTCTACGCCTTTCCCTTCAGTAGGCATCAGAGGAAAACTAGCGGGCATTGTCCCCAGAAGCTCTTTAATTATGAGATAACTCGGTCTCCATTAAATCTGGAGCAATGAGTCCAACTGTGTGCATGGACGTCGGGTGTGATCGTTTTCAGCACCTTTTGTGATGGAATGCGTTTTCACAAAGACCTATAACATCCGATAACTATTGGTGATTTTATTTCGGACTGACTCGAACGTGGGACCTCACGCATAATTGATATGAACACTAACCATTACCTTCCGTCAGATAACGATTCAAACGAGTGTAACGCATGCTAATTTCCTAATTAAAACGTGTTTACTTTCATGGAGTAGCAGATTAATTGTGAATTATTTCGTATGAAACCAATTTGACCAATTGTTTATGACAATGCAATATAGCGACTAATCTTAGGGAGTAACCAATCAAAGTTTTCCCTATCCAAAAATAGGGATTATCCTACGTTACGTTCATTAACTTGGAATGTTGTGATATGCGTTATATGCCCCACGCAATCTTAAAAGTTCTGGAGAAAACTGGCCTTTTTGACATTCTTTGCCCTGCCTAAGTAAACCAGGAGGAGGTGTACGTACAACTAAAAAGTGCCCAGAAGACTGTCAATGCCGATACACCAGCCCCATAAATTCCCTCGTTAGTTGATCCTAATTACTTGAAAGGAAGACGCGCGGTTAACGACAGTAGAATGTAGCCCGACCGCCTCCGAGTCTGAGCACAAAGGGGCTGGATCACGTGACCTGGGAGTTTGCAGTATGGCAGCCGGGGATCCTGAGGTCGCTCGTATAGAGTGCTCCTAAAAATCCTAGTTGCGTTATTGAGCCTGGGTTTTATGATAGCTGTTGCCGATTTCATCCGACATGAACGCGATAAGCGAGAGATCCACGCATTGTTACACACATATACTGTTCAGAGGAAGGTCTAATCTTCGGAAATAGTGTCTGAGAAAAAGACATTAGGCGACATTTATTGTCTGCTTTTCTCCGTAAGTGATATCTGTGCACCAGACATACAACCGCAAAGGCAAGTGACGAGGAAAGTGAATGTCTTTTCTTGGCCCTTTTAGGATATCAAGTGGCGTATGATTGCATTGTAGCGCAACCTTAGATATTGATTTAAGGAAGGAAGGGTTTATTTATGTTTTATTAAGGTTGTGAAGAGTGTTTTTTGTATATTTTTCCCGGGGAGTGTCTTGTAGGTCGGCGGATACGTCAGCTAGGCCTAAATCCTACGTCAACCTTGCGGCGGAGAGTGCGAAAGTTCACAGCCGAAATAATATGTTAACAGTGTTTTTGGGTGAATTATAATCCAAAGTTATATTCGAAATGTGGTGGCGTGATATTCAGTTGGTTTAAGACATTGTTATTTGCATTTTTCATCGATTTTATGTTTATGTTTGAAAATTTTACTTTCTCAGTCTATTCTTCGTTCCTCTTCATAAAATTAAAACATATTAACTGTAGAAATTAAACTCAAATTAATTTTAACAACAAATGGTAAATGAGCACTGCTGCCAGATGTTTTAATTTTGTAACATAGTAATGTGGTTTTATGATCATTGTTAATTTGCATTTTAATAACACTTATCAGTTGCTTGTAATTTAAGATTTTAAATTGACTCTCAAGTTCAATTTATGTATTATATTTAACAGAAAAATACTTGTGTTTTAAACACATCAACTGCAATGATTATTCACACTGTAATCACACCTGCTGGAATGTAGTTTGCATGTTAATGCAGGACTGTGATCAGAATAAGTTTTTATAAGGGCATATGGTCAAAAATTGAAAAAAAACATTTAATAATATTCCTTGTCCCATATGTAAAACTTGAAAATATGGCTAACTGGTCATTTGCTTCTTTTCTGTGTGAATGGTGAGTCTATAGCACTACGTTTGTAGACTGTTCATGCCTAAAAAGTTTTGCCAAGGGTTCTTTGTTTTTAATTAACAATGTGCACTGCTTTATGACTGTCGATTACATATGTAATAATATCTGTGTCTTTAAGAATACTTGAAGGGTTTGTTGTATTTGGTGGGAGATGCGTTATGATATTTTGATTATAATAATTTTTTTCATTTAAAATGTTACAATTTTCTATCCTGAAAATATATTCATTCAGAATATTTCTCCTAAACTCGGGCTAACTTTCAATAGTTATCCTACCTAAATGACACGAGTGTCACAGACATATGCAAAATTTGCAGAAATGTCAATGAGACTTTAAATGCCACATGTCAAAACACATATAAATACCCTATACTGAGGTAATGTATATAAAAGCTAAACACCAGAGCTCAAGTGCTCATTAACTCTTTGAAGCGAACGCTCGTCTAAATAATATATAAGAGTTCAATCCATACTGCAAAGAAAACAACACTTCTCCATTACAAATATCAATTGGTTAATGCTGTTTAAGGGAATAATCACTGTTTACAGTGAGAAATGTACAAAACCCATAAATACAAAATTCAGTTAATGACTGTTAAAGCAGATGGTACATATAGTTTTGTAAGCCATCGAAATATACGTTTGTGTCACTAAATCAACAAATTTGTACCTACAATATGACATGCAAATTTGAGTTATACTGCCATTGAGCTCAGTATCTTCAACTCCAGTACTTTATGAAAAAGTGTTCTAATTAATCTGCTTGCCATTCCTATTGCTACAACACACAGTATATTTTGAATGTTTCTGCCATGCCTAACATTAAATATAGTGATTTAAAGGATGCACAACCAGAAATATATAAATTTTGCATTGTTTTACTTTTTACACCACATGTCTCAGAAGGGGGTTGACCCTGGTCAGGCAGGTTATGGTGGAACTACTTGTAAATGACACAATATATGTTGTAAAGATGATTTTTGAAGGTTGAGAATGTATTTCTATAAAATGAATTAAAGTTTTGGATCTGCCTCTTCTAAAAAATCGTTTTAAGGTGTAACAGTGTTTGACTGAGGTCCTGAAGGCTCTTAAATTTTGGTTACCATCACCAGCAATGCTGTGAGTATAACTAGGATTTATAACTAAGTGCTTAAATATCATATGCTATCATTATAATCTAATTTTATTCATAGGAGCCTAAGGACTCAACAATTAATGTGTGTAAACAAAAATGTACTTACATAAATACAGCCACTATTGAGGAAATCTTCGGTACTGTAGTTTAAATTCGAGGGACCATTCATGTTAGCAAGCAGTGGACTGACTGCCTGAAAAATAAATATAAAATGCATTTTATATTTTAGAATAAACTAATATAAGTACTATTTTATTATGAGTTTATGACAACATGGCAGAAATGAGAAATATAAAATTAATATTTATGGTACTGACACTGCTGAGGTATTATAGTACCAAATCATAGTGTGCTAAAGTACTAAAGGTTTGGATTTGATGAGTCACACAGCAAATTCATGACAACTGGATTATCGTTGTAATATCAGCTGTGTCACAAACGGGACACACACAAAACAGTTGTTAAGAAACTTTAGAATGTGTTCAGTCAATCAGTCATTTTATTTCCTTGCTTTTACCTTGTGTGGTCCAGCTGTCTGTGCATTTTGCTAGCATATTGCTACACCATTAACCTAGGAGTTAAAATCTTGCTGGCAGCCCTATTATCATACAAATAAGGTTAAGGACAATAACAGATGAAACGTTATAATGTGGCATGTTGAATTTGTATAATTAATTGTTACTTGTGGTACAAGAAGTGGGTTAGCACCTCATTATTATATCTGACTTGAAATTGGGAGATACCTAATTCACATTCCAGCACCTATCCTGACAGAGGTTTTTCATGATTTTCCTCAGTCCCTTAAGTAAATGTCAATATATTACATAAAGATCAGCCAGGACTGACATATCATTCACCATCACCCATTAATATCTCAGTCAACTGTCCATAACCTCAGCAGTTGATACAGTAGTTAAATTATAATGTTTTGTCTTTTGGAATCCTAAAATGCACCATGCAAGTGAGAAGAGCATCTAATGGTTTTCTTATGAAAATATTTTGTATGAATACAATGTTTACCACTGGTAAGTGATATGGCTGGCTTGTAGCTTTGCTCAGATTTATCACCAGTTTGAAAATAGTTTATGCTGGCTCAGTGCACTATGGCTTATATCATATTAATCCAGAAAAAAAGGATTTGTGGCTTGTGGTTTGCTTGTTTGTGTTTGAGAGTGTGCTATTTAATTCATTATCTTCGTCTACTTGTAATTACATTTTTATACTAATTTGCATCGTGTATTTTATAACATATTTTAAGTTCACACCTGCTAAAACTGAAAGCTTTGGTGTGTTGTGTAACCAGCAGGAAAAATGGCAGCACCTTTGGTACTTTCTGCAGTAATCTTCATCACCTGCATAGTGTGCTACTACAACAGCCTGCAGTGCGGCTTTGTGTTCGATGACATCAGTGCCATCAAGGACAACAGAGATCTTAGACCTCACATGCCACTGAAGAATATCTTTTTCAATGACTTCTGGGGAACCCCTATTCATAAAGTATGATCATCTGTATTTCTTGATTTCCTTTTTAATGGGTTTATAGTGGCGTGTTAATGGGCGTGTGAGTTGTTAATTTTACGCTATTACGGAGTGTATCTAAAAACATTTGCCTCTGCATGTATGGTAGTATTGATAAAATTTGATAGACTTATAATAATGTAACATAAGGGGAGCCTCCCCACTTGTCTGTGATTGACTTAAAATTGCTAGTTATTCCAGTCACAGTGACTCAACAGAAAAGCTTCTAGCTTTATCAGTGACTGAAACTGATATTTTCAGGATGGAATTTAAACAGCTACAAATTTAAAATGTTTCATGCACACAGAGAAACTTTTAGGGCCATAATCCAGGAATTAGTGCGTGCCACAATGGAGATTTTAGGTGCCATTGCAGCCTGGCACTTAGGATTCATTGAGCTCTGATTTCAGTATTTCACTCTGTGATAATTAAAACCTGTCTTAGCTGAGGTATGTGCAGTTATTTATGATCATGGTTGCAGAGCTTTATGAGAAAAATCTGAGAATTAAAAAAAACTTATAAATAAATAGCTATTAATTAACTTACATGACCACTCTCAATTTTTGTTTTAACATCTCAGTTTATCTCTTCGCCCTTTATTTTTTATCTGTCCTTTACAAACATCTCTGGGAGTCATGCATAAATTTATTCTACCTAAGATAATTTTAAAACATCTCACGAAGATATCTTCAATGACTGTTTGATGCTGCATGCTTGCGCACATAAAGGCAGCTGCAAGGGATAACATGAAGGAGGCACAAATAAAAGAACAGATAAAAGCAAGAAGTAAGTACAAGACTGACTAAGAGTATAAAAAAAATCACAAATATAAGGAGAAATAATGGCCAATATGATACTACGAGACAGGACAGAAATACAGAGAGAATGGGAAGGACAAGATAAATTGTTTTTAAAAATAAGAAGTTAGGAAATTATACACAGCATCACAGTTCTGGCACAATTACCAGAATTTTGCCTTTGACCTTTTCAAATGGTGCCAATGGTATTAGAATTGCCTGTATGCCTGGGGTTCCTCCAGGCATCCAAAGTTACCTGGGAATACCCCATACAGTCACTTCTGTCTGCAGAAACCTGCAAATGTCTTAATGATTTAACCAAAACTGGAATATCTCAACAAACATTAGTAAGAAAAGTAAATTTAAAAGAAATCATATATAAAATCATGCATACAAACAAAACTGTTTACATTTTGAAAAGATGCTTAGTGCCAAATGTGTTTCAACCTCAAGAGGCCATCATCAGTGGCAAACAAATTAATTCATATTAAATCATACAATTCATAAGACAATGGTTTGTTATAAAGCATAAAAGGCCGCACTTTATAAAACCATACTTTATGTAATACCACACTGGATGTTAATTGCACAAGAGTTGGTGTATTATCTAAAGTGAGTTACTTGGCTTTAGCTTTATGTCCACTGGCCTAAGTTGAGGTTTCTGTTGCGATGTTTCATGCTTTATAACAAACCATTGTCTTATGAATTGTATGATTTAATATGAATTAATTTGTTTGCCGTTGATGATGGCCTCTTGAGGTCGAAACGCGTTTGGCACTAAGTGTCTTTTCAAAGCGTAAACAGGTTTATTTGTATGCATGATTTTATATATCAATACACTGCATGGTATGGAAGGTTTTAAGATTAAAAAATCATAACTGAATTACACAGCTAAAGAACTACTACTGCTGCAAAGCTGCAATAATTAAAAATAATTTGACACTATTGATAAAAGGCCATTATTAGAAATTGTTTCCTCATTTATTTCAGATTTTGGCTTTTTGAAAAATGGTTGTTTTCTGGGTTGTAAGACCATGTAGTCTGGTAGAAACTTTTCAGAGGTCCTTACTGCCTCCATCATCAGCGTGATGATGATGATGGTGGCAACAAGGAATGTTCGTAACTACCAGACTACAAGCGCTACAACACAGAAGATAACCGTCTTCGTATTCACTGCATTATTCTACATCCTATTGTCATCTGACTAACTTACGGATCCATGGAATGTAATAAAGATGTATGTATGTACTGCCATGTTTACCTCAGATCCTACTTTGGCTAGCTGATTTTGGCAACTGTTGGTGCTGGCTGTACATTACTGATAACGGCCACTTTCTGAATTTAACCTGTGCATTGAATCACAACTGCATATTTCCTTTTCTTTCCTAAGCAAAGTGCAGGAAGATAATTTTACTTTTTGTTTTCTAGGAGCAGAGTCACAAGTCATATCGGCCTTTATGTATTCTGACATTTCGGTGGAATTATTCCCTACATCAGTTGGAGCCTATGGGTTATCATTTGGTCAATATGATGTTACACAGCATCGTATGTCTCATGTACTTCAGGTAAACTAAGAAATTAAACTAGTTGTTAAACAATTGTAAAAGAAGAAAAATTAATAAACAGAGCTTTAATCAGTCTTGGTGCTGACATGGTTTTGGTATTCATGTGTTCTGTATTTGTTGTTTGACTCTACATTTTCTGCAGTGACACTTTTTTGATTTGTCCCTGTTGTTTTTATTTGACACTGGTACACCTTTTCATTGATTCAAAAATTTAATTTCACCCGAATCTGTTGCGTTTATATATAACTTTATGTGGTATTGACAGTGAAATCCCCGTTTACTATTTCTCAGTTTCTGATTTCCCTTCATTTGAAGTCCAGTTTCTTTATTTGCACCCCATTAACTGAGTGTCTAATGCCCTCCATTTTCATTTATGGTTTAATTCTTAGAAAAACAGTGTATAAATGTGATGACTGGATACAGCAGTATAAGAGTTGTGTCCAGTGTGCTTTGTGAACATATGATCAACCTTTATGTTCCATAAAAGAAATTTCTTGAACTGGAAGATTCTTTACCATGAAGTTTGTTTTTTTAAAATTGACTTTTTGTTTTGTTTTAGAATGTGCTCCATGTTTCTACCAGAAATCTCAAGTTTTATAGCATCAATGCTCTTTGCCGTCCATCCAATCCATACTGAAGCTGTAAGTGAAATTTTGATGGATGCTTTGTTGTAATTTTTTCTTCACTTTTGTACTAAAACCGATTGTACTCTGTAGTTCAGTTTTCATCCAACACAAATATGTAGATCAGTTAACATTTTCACTGCTGCGGCAGTAGGTTTTAAACATTCTTAAAGAAAGTTCCTTGTATTATTTCTTTGCTTCTTAAAAACTTATTTCTTTAATTTCTGTTTTGTGCTTCTACAAGTGCTAAATTATCTTCACTGCCTGAATAGTTACTTGTACTCCAGATTTATTATCACTGTCATTAAAATTAACATAAAAAATAAATAGTACCCTGAAGACAACAGTGCAAATTTCCATTGTCATGAAAACCTCAAACTTCATATTTTAATTCTCTTATTTCATTTTTGCAGGTGACAGGTGTGGTTGGGAGAGCTGAAACCTTGTCCTCTGTGTTTTTTCTTGCAGCCTTCATCTTGTACACCAAATCAACTAAGAGGAAACATGTCACAGGTATAGATATAAAAATATAGTTGACTATGTTTATAAACAGATAGACAAACTTCGATAACGGAACCTGTACGTTTTTCACAACTAATATCAAAGCCTGCCACTGGATACGATCCTGAATCAGTTCATCTTATGTTTAGTTTTAGCCTCTACCTTTTTAGTCTTGCAAGGTGAAACTTTCCAAGAGGTCTCTCCAGTATGTGCAATGACGCTTTTCATTATGCAATTTTCTCTGGCCTTTATCACTTCATTCCTCTTGGGTTCATATATTTCCCTCAGTGCCTTGTTCTGAAACGCATTCAGTCTGTCCCATAAAGTGAGAGACCAAGTTTTGCTTCTATACAAAACAGTAGGTAAAATTTTATTGTGTATTTTTATGAAAGATAAACAGTTGTGAAATGAATGATAGCAAACATTCTCTAAAATTAATCTGCTCTTAATTTCTTTGTGAATGCAATTTTAATTTATTACTATTGTTTCCAAATATCGAAGCTTGTAAATGAAATTTTGGGATTTATTATTTATTATTATGTCTTGTAGTCTGGTGACAAGACTGAACATATTAGATTTAATTTCTTTGCTTATAGAGCAGTTTCCTTACTAGAATGTAATTGTCTTTATGTCATTTGTGCTAATGTTTTATTTATATATATATATAGTGTAAAATTTTCTTCCTTTACAGTATTTAAACTACAGCGCTACCTTTCAGGAAGGTAGTATTTATGATTCAACTGCTGTAAATTAGAAACATAATTAATATATTTTCTGATCTGTAGGCTGGAGGAATTTGGTTTTATCTATGATCTCTGTTGCCACTGCAATGTTATGTAAGGAGCAAGGCATCACAATCACGGGTATTTGCGCAGTGTACGAGTTGATAGTTACTCAGAAGGTAAGTGTAGCATTCCTTTTCTGAATGAAATGATGAAAGCACCCATTTTTATCTTTAAATAAATTTACTGAAGTAATGAAATTGTATATTTATTATAACAGTTATGTGAATATACATATCGTTGCTGACAAAAAAAAGGATACTGAAAGTTCATATAAACTGTACTTAAGTAATGAAGTTGCTTCCTTATTATGATACTAGAGAGTGCTGTTTATTGCCATAACATTACATATCAATTATTAGTTGTCAGGCAACAAAACAAGAGATATGGACAAAACGTTATGCTTTTCATTCATCTTAAAACTTTGCATACCGTAGTGTATTAGAACATAAAATAAGCAAACAAACTATTAACACTATTGGCACTGGTGTCTGTTTTATAGTGTTAATAGTTTGTATGTTTGCTTATTTTATGTTCTTTTCATTCAGTTTTGGTCACGTAGCAACAGTGAAGGAGGCCACAAAAGGTTTACAGAAAATTTAATTATGAAGTGTCATTGATCTCCACTTGTGCAGTTTTTTATTGAAACTTGGATTAATTGCAGCTTCGCTTGAGTGACTTACACTACATGTTGCGTTCGGCAGTGAGTGGAAAGGGATCCCTAAATTCATCTTGGACGTCAGATGCAACTAAGCGACTTAGCGTTCTAGGAGCAACAACTATCTGTCTTCTTATGATGAGGTTGCAGATCATGGGTTCAAGATTACCAGTATTTACTAGGTAATTAAATTCAACTCGAATTGTTACATGTGTGTGTGTGCGCGCGCATGCACGCTTAACTATGGCATTCATATTATAGGGCTGTCACTTGGTATTTTTTTTAATAATAACCATTTACCATAAGTAAGATAGTTAATGAAAACCTATTTTGTCATTAAAACAAAAAAAGTTGATATTAACAGTAAACATGTCAAGCTGTCTCACAGATCACGTGGCCAAACACTTCCTTTTTACCATGGAGGCTTTGGTTCTGTCTAAGCAAAATCTGTTTTGAATCTGTATTAGATAAAGTATTGTCCCCTGCTTATCATCATTATACCAATGCTTCATATTTATCTACAGTCAAACCCTGTTACGTCTGTAGCACTAAGGTTAGCATTAAGAGGGTTGAATATAACTTTCTGAATCTTTTATGCATCTAAATAAACCTGACCCATTAAACTGTGAGACTGTTTTTATTGGATTTGAAAGATGTGCAGGAATTGACAATTCAGAAGTATTTTTGTAATGTAAATAACATCCACCCTCCTGTCTAGCAAGTACTAGAGTCCTTTCCTGAGGATAAAGCATGGTGGGAGCCTGACGCTGACCATTCACCCCTATCTAGAGCTGATGTTAAGAATGTGTAGGAGCTATGCCGCCTCTCCCTCCCAAGCACATATATGGCATGTAGCAGGACAGCTTAGCTTTATATTTATATAACATATGTTTGTTAGTTATTGCCTATTCAAAATATTATGTTATCTTTCCTAAAGATTCTTGCTTCTCTATAAAACCCTCACCCCCACCTAGTGCCAAGGTTAAGAATGAATATAAGCTATAACTCCTCTCCCCCTCAAGCGCCTACATGGCATATAGTCGGACAGCTTAATACATACACACTTTTACTTTTATAAAATTTACTTCTTTTTACAGGTTTGACAATCCTGCATCAGTAGCACCAACTCCTGTTCGACAGTTGTCATACAACTACTTAATTAGTGTCAATTTGTGGCTCATGCTGTTTCCTTGTGATCTGTGCTGTGATTGGACAATGGGAACTGTGCCATTAGTTGAATCATTACTTGACGCACGTAATTTAGTGACACTGATTTCTTATGCAATCCTCTCGCTTCTGACATACGTGGCTGTTGTTACAGACAACAGGCAGCAAGCAACAGTCATAATTATGGTAAGAAAAAAGTGATATGTGAAGTGAATAATTTAGAAGTATAACTAATTAATTAACTAATTAAAATAAAACGCCATGAATTAATATTCACTAGTTATAACAGTTTTTTTAAAGGATACGTGTATGCATGATATACTAAATAAAGACAATTTTACTGAAAGAGTGAAAGCATGAAGTTCCAGTATAAGAGTAATTTGAAGTTCCAGTAATTCTTACAGGAAATGGCATGTTTCAGATATGAAACATTGGGGAATTAATTAGTTTCATCTTCAACAAATGTCAGATTTATTTACACTTAATTGTCCTCAAGTTGTTATTGTATTCATAACTTCATCAATGAATAAGAATCTACCCTTTTTTGTTTATCTTATCATTAATTATCAAGAAATTTCTGGTTGACTGTCATTTGACAAAGACATTAAAAGATTATAATTTGGATGTTATTACAGGCTATTTTGCTTTCAGAATTTTTAAACCTTTTCATTCATAATACATAGTTAAGATTTATTTAACGAAATAATTAGAAAAGAAACTGCTACCTAAAGAAAGAATTTACTTCTCCTGTTGATCCATGAACATCTGGGGTGATATAATATGGAAATGATAAGACAAAGCTGTCCCAATAAGTCTCATTATGCCAGAGCACCAGACAGTTTCCACAGATGTAATCTTAAATTGTAATTTTTCCAGAGTCTTGTATTCTTGATACTACCATTTCTGCCAGCCTCCAACTTGTTCTTCCCAGTGGGATTTGTGGTTGCAGAAAGGATTCTTTACATTCCTTCCATGGGATTGTGTATGCTAATTGCCTACGGTTGGAGTCTTTTGGCTCAGATGAGGTAAGCTGTTGTTTATGTAGCACACAGGTTGTTTGTATCATCCATATAATCTGAATTTATATTTTTAAA